ACGTTCATGGGCGTACGACTGGACTGTTACCCACCCTTTTCGGTGCTTCAGTGGTCATGAATCTTCTTCCATCCTTCCTACCTCTGGTCAATTCTTGTCAGGAAAATTCAGTTTGCTTATGTTGCTACACAGAGAAAAACTGTGGAAGATGTATCTGGGGAATATGACTCACTCTCATAATTATACATTATAAACTAACTTCCATTATATAATCATCAAGCAATTTTATTAACACCAGATAATCCCATAGAACAATATTTCTCCATAGTAAAGAAGAAACCCAGTCCCTGAAGTATGGCTGTGTTAGAGGGAGAACATCATTCTTGTTCTGAGGACATATGCTGCTCTTCCCTCCATTGAGGTTCAGCTGCCTAACACTTAGCATGAAACTGTTCTCCTCTCCGCTAATGACAAGGGCTTTTTTCTTATCCCAATAAAAAGCTAGATGTTTGAAAACTGAAAAATCTAAGAAAATTTGATTCAGATTAGTTGAAACATATTAGGGCTTAATCATGTTTATTATTTTAATAGTGCATTAACTGAGAGTTCTAAACAAAAAGTAATTCCCACCTAATGATTCGCAATTGTTTACTCTGTGATGAGGGCACGATGTGCTTTGGAATCTTTTTTCCCCACTAACTCAGCTGTTGGTGCCTGGCAGCAGTTCCACGCAGAAATATTTGGGGTTAAAAGTGTTGTCAATGCCAACTATTTCCAGTGAAAACGTTCATTTTCTCTAAATGCATTTTTGTAATTAGAAATAGTTGTGTTAAAAAACCGTGCCCCATTCTTCTCCTGGCAGTGGGACACTCAGCCAGTGGACTTTGGTTTGTTCCCACAGCAGTTTGTACAATTGTCATGAACGCCTGGTGCCCGGTGGGAGCATCTTCAAATATATTTAGCATTACGTAGTGGAACAGTACACAGGATGCGTTGTTCATTCTGTTTCTTTCTGCCTATGTATATTTATGGCCACATCTAATAAAATAAAGCAGTGCGTTTCTAGAGCTCAGTGAAATTCTGTGTAAACCATCTGATTATGATCATTCCCTGCATGCCAAAACATACTTAGGCTTTTTTTAAGTGAAGGTTTTTAAACTATCTGTTTTGAAATGAGAGAGTAAGTCCCCACCTCTCCTGCTCTCTTCTGCAAGACAGGGTGTAAGTTTTGGCATCCGCCCACACCCCGAGATGTGTGGTCACAGGGAATAGCCCTGGAACATATCCTCCTTGTTGTGTCTGATGGCCCTAACACAGCACATTCACCCCCCATCAGTTAAAACCGGACTGCAGCCCTGGGAGGTGATCTGCTGCCCGCCATGTAAGGGTAGTCAGTGGTATCCAATCCAGCAAACATCTCTCCTTTAGGAAAAAAAATAATCCTTGCATACATTATACTTGATCTGTTACTCAGTCATTATTGCAGAGACTAGTACTGATGAAACATTAAAGGGCACCTTCAGAAGATCCACCACCCAACGGAACAATAGTGATTATGATAGGAACAGTAATTAGGTGAGTCAGAGCTGCAAGAGACTTTTACAGTACAAATTCTTTGGTCGGGAACTTTGTCATTTTGGGTCTAAATAGCCCCTTGTCCAGCTGACTCTTTGGGGTCTCAGCTAATGCCACTTCATTGGCAAGACCTTCATCAGCAAAGGGTCACTGTAACACAATTACAACCCCTGCAGAGAGCCTGGGTTTCACTGTGCTCCTGCCTAATGACATGATGCAAAATATTCCAGTGCCGTTTGAGAAACATAAACAGGTATTGGCAAATGGGTGCAGCGAGTTTCAGCCTGACGTCCATTCTGTGCACTTACTTACACACAGGAGAATCAGCTGGGGTCTTCAAAGAGGCAGGGAGGAAGCCTGTGTCGTCTCCTGCAATAGTCACGCACACAGAATCAGGCCATGTCAACCTCACTACAGATGTGACCACTAAATACAGGTGAGCGAGCTGGAGCAAGATGTCAGGGCTGATAGCTTGTTCCATGTTTTCAGCTCGCAGGATCTCCCCAGCACATACCACAGACGCTACTTCATCTGTTTAGCTGCGTATTTCTGTTAGAGGAAAATTAAAGCAATCAGAGCTGGGTTTGCCACACGCCTCTCCCCTGGGCGCCTTCGGCAGTTTCGGTGAGAGCCGAGTGCCCTCTAGAGAGCAGGCTGCAGACCGTGGCGCTGGGCCTGTGATGTCCCTCTCTTCCTGCATCTCCAAATATCCCATGCAGTGAAACGCAAAATGTGTCTGAATCGCCCAGCACGGTGGGCGCGGGGATCGGCCGCGGCAGGAGGGAATGCTTCCCCGCGCCGCGGCAGTGCAGTAATTGCAAATATGTGTTAGAGGACTGTCCAGTGCAGGTGGCCCAGGACAGTACTGAAATTACTGTATATTGTGTATCATTATATTTTTATATTATTTTAATTACATATTATTGTGCTTTTGTGGTATAGTCTAACAGCAACTTCCACTTAGCCACAGATAGTATTAGCCAGACTTACCTGCATCTCCCGGCCTCTTAGTAAAATGTAAGTCCCATTTTAAGCAGAATATCTGATCTCAGTCCCATGTACGGCGGTAATGCACTGGTTTACCCTCCTTGGGTAGGCTGGAGCAAGAACAGGAGAGAACTGTGCCAGACCGGGCACTTGGGAGCAGAAGGCTGGCAGGTCGGCATGTTGTTTGGATCTGCCAGTTAAGAACAGCTGACACCTTATGGAGAGATCTGGAAAGTACCAAGATGTCTGGTCTGCCTGTGTTTACCAGACACTTTCTCCATTTCCTTGTTCTTTGGCACAAGCAGCATTTGCATGTAATGATAATTTATTATTCCAGCTCCTCCTCAGTTTTTATCTGAAATAAATGCAGTGCTCGTGAAAAACTTTTGCTTGAGTCTTGGTACAAGCCGGACAGACTACCAGTTTTGCCCTTTGTTCACAGGCAAATACACATTCAATTTCTCTTTCCTCTGGAAAAATAACCTAAAACAAAACCGTATAAATATTCTCACAAGTGCTTCAGGCCGATATTTCCTTATGTGGCCGCAAGAGGGAAATGCCAGTGCGATGGCAGTTAGGACGTGAAAACTCGGACGCCAAATTCACAGGATTCTAGTTTCGATGCGAAACCGCCTCTCGCTTCAGG